AATTTTACAACTTTACAAAAAATATTTAAAAAATGCCTTCTTTCAAAAGACTTATTGCTAAATTCAACAAAAAAGTCATTACTCGATCTGTTCCCGTTGAAGAATTTTACTATGAGGGATGGTCAGATGTTGATCAAGAATCAGAACCAGGATGGGATATGGAAGAACTTTCTGGTTCAACTGGCATTAAGGAAGATTTTGAACCTTCCTCAATGCAAGTTGAACAAGAGAATCCTTCTGTTGAGATAATAGAAACATCATTCAAGAGTTATACTTTTGAGTGGATGTTATTGATATTGTTGCTGTTGTCGTCGTTATTTTCGACAATGTTGGTGTAGATCTTTGGCTTCTTGTTTTTGTTCCGATGGAGATTCTTGTTGCTGCGGTTGAATCTTTCGGAGGGAGATGTTGTTACTTTCGTTGACCCGTGCCTGGTACATTATAGTCAGGCGTCGATAAGTAATATGTTCCAGATGGGCAACGACCTCGATAACACTATCCAGGATCTGTTGGATGGCAAGGTGAGAATGGAAGATTTTCCTCTCATTAACGTCTGTTTGATGGAGGATTTCTTCTATTCTTCGGACAATCAAAGGCTTTATTGCTTCAAGGAGGCGATAAAGCGAGGGTTGGATGTTGACAGGATACCTGTTCGAATAAGACAGGTGTCTGACATCAACATCGGGTGGAAGATGGAGAGAGCGTATCGGGTGGTGCGGAATACTAATTTTAAGGAGGTGGTGGTTAGCCCTTCGTCGAGAAACGGGAGGGTGATTGATGGCAAGGGCTACTGGGAGTACCGTATTTAAATGTATCTTTTTCTAATTATACTGTATTTATATTTAATTATTTGTAAATAAAGCATGTGATTTGTACATAAATTCCAGCACATTCTACGTTATCATTTTGTTTATTTTAAAATAAATTTAGTATGAATCTAAATTTGTCAGGTTCATAGTTTGAATGGTGTTGATCTATAAATATGGTTAATCATATTTTATTTTGTATATTATTCACGTTAATTTTCAAAATGTCGTCTCTAGTTTTATCTCATCGCATTTTTTTAACCATGACTCGGTAAAGATTATTTTTTATTGTTATCTTTTGTTTGTTTTTTTTTTAATTTCTTGTTTATTCAGAGAACAAGTTGAAAACTATCTCGATAATTATATTAACAACTGGCATGAAAGAAGACGAAATGATGAAATAGAAGTTTGTCTACATTACAAAGAGATGATTAAAATTAATAATAATCATAATAAACAAAGAGAAAAAAGAGAATCAAAGGAACATGAGGAAAGAGAAAAGCAAAGACAATACGAGCGAGAAGAGAGACAAAAAGAACATGAGGAACAAGAAAAACGAGAAGCAAGAGAACGTGAGGAACGAGAAAAGCAAAGACAATACGAGCGAGAAGAGAGACAAAAAGAAAGAGAAAAAAGACAAAAAAGAGAGAATAATATATGCTGTTTTATTATTTTATTTTTTTCTTTTATTGTATGTATAACCACAATACCTTAGGTTCTGTTTCATCTGGTGTGGTTACCGTCATTCTTAAGTATATAGAATATATAAAAAGAGATTAATATTGGTTTGTTTTGTTTACGTAGCATGATTATATTTATATGATAATTTTTATTAATAAAATTGTAAATTACACGTTTGGTTCTGCTGATTTAATTACATATTTACCATGTAATATTGGTATAATTTTATTTATAAATTACTGGATTTTAAATATTAATAAAATCAAACGGAAATTTAAGATAATAATTTACGATTACAGTAATAATCGAAGAAGTGATAATTCCATAAATTTTTTCGTTATAAATATAAAACACTAAAATGATAAAGAGGAATATGTTCATTAAAAAAATCATAAAAAAACATAAAAGTTTTATAAAAAAGACTTTTTCTTTTTGTCTTTCTTCTTTTTGGTCTTGAAGTAAACGAAAAGTAATTTCTATAGTTTGTTTATTATGTTAATTGTTAAGTTTATTCATTTCTTTTTTATGTTCAAAATGTGGACAGTTTTCTTCATTTTCTTCATTTTTTTTACTTCTATACCAGTCATTGAGAAAGTTACGAACTTGTTCTCTAATGAAAATTTAATAAATTTAAAGAAATAATAAAAAAAACAAATTATTAATCTTACTCGCTCATTTTTAGGTAAATATTTTGAGATAAAACTAAAAAATCCATATTTTTTGTTAATATTTTATATAACAAAATTTTGGTACAAATTTCTGGTTCGTTCCAGAAGATCAACAATGATTGCGTATTTGTATGAATTCAGATTCGGCATTCCGATAGTGATGCATGTGAGATTACGTAAGCGGATGTGATTCATTGATGATCGACAGTACAAATACTTACAATTTACGCCCAATTTTGTGATTTCTCACCCTTTCGTTCGTGGTTTTATCAGAGAAATGGTGGAGAACACCCACATCTTAATATCCGAACAGGGAGAAGCGTAGTCTCTTGTAAGAGAGATGAACATGATGTAAGGCGGCGAATGACGCATGAGATAACCATCTTTTTGGTGAAGTGTATTCATGTTTCTCTGGTTGACACAGGCAAAAGGGTCAAATCTTTATCGCTTCAGATGGTTGTTATTAAGTTTTGGCCAGGCTTTCCACCTCGAGAGTGAACGAAAAACTTAGTGTTTGCATTTTTAAATGCACCTTGAGAAACATCTTGAGGAACGGATGTGTTTAGACTTTTTTCTATCATAGAGAGTAAAAAGCACTCTCAAATTTTAGTCATCTCGGGGCATACTACAACAATTTAACGGTTAAATTGTAAGGCTTATAACGCTGAGATGTGACTCGTACACTGATATTTAGGCTTTTGGCAGCTGTACCTGAACAACAAAAGTCAAACTTTTCATGAGTTTACGATCGTGGTTATTGTTTATTCATGGCTTGGGATCCGAACATAATCTCCCCAGTAATTTGGATTCACATTCGAATTGATCGTTTGCTCTTGTTTTTTTAGAGTCGAGTGATATGTAACTTTCTCGCAGTTTGATTCGGGCAACGTGTTTTTATTATTAAAAATACGGCTAATACATATCAAATTTTAATAAAGTACAGGATATCCATTGCGATTACCAGTTTGTTTGTCATGTTCTATTTTAAATTCTATTGCTTCTTGTTTAATTTTAAACCATTTATTTTTTTGTTTACTATTCTCACACCAAAAAAATACCC